GGAAAAATCTAATTTGTTGTATTCTGATGTTTTCTCATCTATTACATCGATCCTCTCATGGGATATATATAGGAGTACATATGGGATAGAGACTTAGAGTACAATACAAGTAAGATTAGATTTATCTCTAGGATTCTATCTCTAGGACTGTATCTTATCTATAGGATTCTATCTCTACTTCTCTAGGATATATCTTATCTCTATAATTTGTTTTTGACTTTTATCTCTAACTAACATATTATACTTCTAACATTCCCCCTCAGTCGTAACGGGAGCGAAGCGAACGATTGCGACTGTATTTGAAATCGTCTATTTCTTCATCTCCATCGACTCACCATCATCGATTGCATCTCTGATGGATGGTCCTCCACCTGGTTCCTGCATCCCCATATGTGTCGTCCCTTGACTCTCCTCTATCCCCTCCCGCAGTCATAGCAGGAGTGTCATGGACGATAGCGATGACACGGACACTTTGACTGGAGTTTCCGTCAATGATTTTTGTTGTAGACGTTCGTCGATGTAGCCGATCATGTAGTAGCCGTAGTCGTAGTAGTTGTTGTAGCCGCATATAGCCGAAGGCGAAAAAAAATATTTACGCCATGGTGTGAAGACGAAACTGTAATTGTTAGCATCTTGCACCTTGTAGATGTCAGAGGATGCCATTGGAAACGTCTTGCATATGTCAGAGGACATCGTTGGCGATGAGGCCACCACTTTGGTTGGTCCTTCTGCGCCGTGTAGCGGTCATCACAATAGTGATGCCGGGTTGATGCAGTCGTTGTAGTCATAGATGACGTGATCGATGCTGTCGTCGGTGACGCGGTCGTTGCCATCGTAAAAAACGTGGTCGATGTTATTGATGAAGCGTCTTGCAGATTAATCTGTTAGAGGACGCGGGATGTCCATCCTTGTGGACAAGTGGCGGCGGCGTGTTTCCCTTATTGATGAAGACCATCTTGTTGATAAAGACCATCGGCGATGTTGCATCGGCGAAGACAATTGCGCAGTCGTACGGCTGATGATGATCAGTACCGTCGGTGTAGATGAAGTCGTGCGCGGGGAGGTCCGTGCGCCTGTGCACCGAAGTTTGACCTTCTCGTGCCTTCCCGAGGATGTGCCACACGATCCATGCATGCATGCGCATGACAATGGTTGTGGTTGTTGGCTTGCTGCTTCTGCTCATGAGGATCATGGCTTTTATGTGGCTAGCTAATGAAGATCTAATCTAATGCTAATCATTACTTAATCTAGGAATTTTTTTCACGGTGGTTGATGGATGCGCGCCCCAGGGAGACTAAAAAGATGTCATCTCCCCGGGGCGGCGCGAGCGGAAGACTAATGGAGCGACGGTAGTATCTGATACCACGTGGAAAAATCTAATTTATTGTATTCTGATGTTTTCTCATCTATTATATCGATCCTCTCATGGGATATATATAGGAGTACATATAGGATAGAGACTTAGAGTACAATACAAATAAGAGTAGATTTATCTCTAGAATTCTATCTCTAGAACTATATCTTATCTATAGAATTCTATCTCTACTTCTCTAGGATATATCTTATCTCTATAATTTATTTTTGACTCTTATCTCTAACTAACATATTATACTTCTAACATAAACATGCAGCTCGTCAGCACGCCACAGATAGAGAGGTTCACCGGGAACGTTTCTCCTGCGGCGGCCATTGGAGTATGTTGTGAAGTTGGCCACGCACTTGTGCTTGCAAAGCAGTAGCTTGTATGTTCTGGTCATCGGGCCGTAGCCGAATCCCGATGCGTGGTAGTCGTCCGGCGAGGGAGGGACGACGACGGAGACCTCTCTCTCGCCATCGGCGACGGCGGGGTTCAGGAGGCCGGAAAAATGCTCGTCATCCTCCCCTCTGCCGGCGAGGAGAATGACGCCGTTGCACGTGCCAACGTACTTCTGGTCGCTGTACTTCTTCCCGGCGAGCGCGCGCATCGGGTTGGTGCCGACGATCGGCGGCGCCGGCGACGTGGAAGCCATGGTACCTCGACGTCGACGAGAAGCGGTCCGGCTCTGGGTCGTCGTAACGTTCTCGTTGCCTGCCACGTTCTTGGAGGGAGTTGATGCGGGCTAGCATGTCGCGGTGGGTGACGACGGGCGCCGTGGCGACGTAGGCGATGTGCGGGCGCGGCAGGGGCGCGCCGTGGCGGCAGTGGAGGCGGACGAAGTCCGGGCTGGTGATCAGGCGGCGGTGGTGCCACGACAGCGCCATGGACGCGACGGCGTCGCGGGCCGGCAGGCGGGCGAAGATGTTGCGGACGACGTCGTCGCAGATGGCGGCGCCGCCGAACGACGACGACGACGTGCCCGCGCGCGACACGGCAGCCGTGATCTCTCCATCCGCCGCGGCGTCCTCTCTTTTCCTCTTCATCGTTGCCCAGTGCCCACGCGCCGTACTAAGCGGCGCTGATCGATTGTGATATTATATATCACCGACTAGCCGTGTGATCACGCGTGTGTACGAGTACGACTATGTTTCGCTTAATCTCATTCTCTTCTCTACTATTATAAAAATTAAAAATATTTTTATCGGTATTTTAAAACGTCATCCGTATTTGAGTCGGCTTTTAAGTTCGTTCGTTTTTGGAAATACAAATCCGTGTCTGAGATAGATTTTAAGCTTGTTCCTTTTGAAAGTATAAACGGAGTCATATAAGAAATCTTTTAAAAGAAACTTGCATGCTAACCTGAGATGAAATACAGACTCCTAATAAATATTCTAACTAAACTGTATAGCAATAATAAAATTTAAATAGCATTTACCCGTTGTAACGCATTTTTTCTAGTTAACTTATAAACATAAGCACAGTGGTTACAATAATCTGAGTAGCACTCTAGAGTCCTGAATTCAAATCTTCATAGAAAAGAATTTCAGATCGGGTTGTTTGTGTGGCTAAGTTTCCAATTTAAATAGCTTCATATATCCGGTTAGATGTAGAAGCTTGTAAAAAGTATCATTTTCTAGAAAAAACGCATGCCCTGACCGAGATAGATAGATAAGGTGGAACAGGTTCTCACCACGTGCTTGGGCCACAGTGGGATTCCTTGAAAAAGGTGGGCCGTAATGTGTTAGCCCGGAACGTGAGCATCTCTAACGTGTTGGGGGCCGGAACGCTATCAATCACGGCCAGGGTGTTGGGCTGTGATGCATTAGGCAGGAAAGGAATAAGTTCACTTTGACTCCCTTAAAAGTGACCCGATATAGTTAAAACAAGGGAATAAATTAGCTCGACATTACAGAATGTTAACCATTATACATGAATAGGGGCAGATTCAATATGGGTAGAGCCATGGAGAGAAGGAGAGAGGGGAGGATAAAGAAGAGTAGAGGAGCCTGAGAGTAACTCTACAACTCTACAAGACTATCCAAACCAGGCTCTCCAAACACCCATATAATCAGCTCTTTAATTGATTTGGCAAGTCCGACTTGTTGCTCACTCGAAGAGACTCTCCATTTTGAGTACATGATAGTGAAACCCATATGTTAGTCTCTCGCTTCTTTCTCCAATCCACTACCTTCAATCCTCCATCCTCCAACTCTCCACCACCCACTAGCAGCAATAGCGGTGACAAGAGGGGGAGAGAGCCAGCAACAGCAGCGGTAGGTGACGAGAGGGGAAGAAGCCACTGGTGCCCGTAGCAGCACCAGCACCCGGGCGACAGTGACAACAACAACACATGGCCTAGGAGGTTGCGGTGAGGGAGGTGAGACACGACGATAGCCGCGCGGCGGAAGGAGCGCTGACCTCGGCTGGCGACATTGCGGCAACGGTGGTGGTGAGCTTGCACTGCGGGAGAGGTAGAGGCACGATGGCCGGTGGTATAGAAGGAGTGCCGAACTCGGTTGGCAATGTTGTGGCGACCTCGGCCAACAGTGGAGGTGAGCTCGTGCAATGGGGAGGCATATAGGCACGGTGGCCATCGACGGTGCAGGCACGCCTTATTTCCCGAGCATTCGGAGTAGTGAAGGAGGGCATCGATCGAGGCGGTAGGGGTGCAAGAGTGGTGGTGGGCTTGGGGACAACTCTTGATTAGGTGCTCCATGACTGGTGGTGGCGGCTGGCACGTACAGAGGTGAGGATGTTTAGTGTGCGAGAGAGAGACTGCGGGTCCCATAGGTGGGCAGTGGTTGCAACCGACCAAATTTGGCCAGCTTGAGCCCATGTTTGGTTAGTGTTATTTTTTGGCAAGTCAGATGACCAGATTGTTGGAGTGTATTTTTTTTCTTAGGATTGTAAAAATTTGGCTTAATGAGTGGGATAGAGAGGATGCTTGAGATGATCTGAGGAAGAATTAAGATAAGCCTCTTTCAAACTAATGGGCGAGTTTTATCCTGTTTCATTAGAAGGTTTCAGATCTTTTTTTTCAACTAACGTGCTACTCTATCCGTTATAAAATATAACAATTTTTAGCATTTAAAATTTATCTCGAAATATAACAACTTATCCCACCTACATTTTTTTTCTTAACTAATCACAACGTTACACCTTTTATTTCTCTTCTCAACAAATCATAACTTATGTCATGTAGGTTTATCTATTTTCTTAATGTCCATATCCAATTTTAAATTTTCTTATATTTTTAGGACGGAGATTTAGGCTGTGTTCAGCACAGCAAGTTCCTATCTCCTCTCCACCGTGTTCCACGCGCACGCTTTTCAAACCATTAAATGGTCTATTTTTTGCAAAAAGTTTCTATATGAAAGTTGCTTAAAAAAATCATATTGGCCCTTTTTTTTTAAAAAAAGCTAATCCTTAATTAAACACGTGCGAATGTACCGTTCCGTTTTTCGAGCGAAGGGGATTGGTTCCCATCTAGCCCAAGCGAACGCAGCCAATCATTTGGCTACAACCCATCATATCCATGCCGTTTCACGGTTTCATTAGATCCTTTCATCCGTACGGGTGTGCATCTCATGTGCTTTTTGTGCCCGGGCAAGTAGCTTCTAGAATATTCTACAACGAATAGAAGGCGCCCGCCCAAGCAGGTAGTAGCTTGCTGAGCACGCCGCATTCCAGCCAGCTGTTCTTCGAGTCTCTCTATATAAACCCACACAGCACACAAGGCTCTGGTTCCGAGCAGAGACGTCACCTCCCCCATTTCGAACGCCAAACTCCTCTCCTCTCCCCTCCCCCTCTCCGCTTTCCCGTACCATGGTGAGCAGAGTTTTTGCTTGTTGTTCATGAACTCGGATTCGATTTGTGGGTGTTGTGTTAGTGCTAGTCTTAGACACGTTGATTTGGATGTTTTTTTTTCCCTCGATCTCGCTTGGATTTGGATTTTGGAGTAGTTCGTGGTTTTTTTTCTGGACGGATCAGTGCGATGTGCATGCGGACTGTTCGATCTTATGCGACACCTCACTCTCTCTAGATTCTGATCGAGTTTTTTCTCCTGAGAAATTGACGTGTTTGATGGTGTTTAATTCCTGCGCGTTTTGATCGGTCGGATGTGCATGCGAACTGTTCGATCTTATGCAGCAGCACCAGCACCTCGCTCTGTCCAGATTCTGATCGAGTTTTTTTTTTAATTTTCTCCGGAGAAATCGTTGTGTTTAATGTTGTTTCCTGCGCGTTTTGCTTGATGGATTTTTTCCCCTCTCTTGCAGGCAGACATGAAGCAAGAGGAGGATGAGCTAGCCGTGGATCCCGGTGTCGGTGCTGTGTGCGATCCTGTGACGAAGCTGCGGTTCGAAGCGATCGTCTGCCTCCTGGATAGGATTCCGATCACGCTGCAGCAGATCGACATGTTTGGCCAGGACGTGGCGTTCCGCACGAAGAGAATTGGCAACATAGAGGCGTTGCTCGACTTCCTCAAAGGAAGCGCGGCCGCGACATGGGGAGCGCGCGCCGGCGCCGGCGAGCCGATCGATGCGTCGTCGCCGGAGCTTCACCGTCTGGTGGAGGATGCAGAGACAGCTTACCGCGACGTCCGCGGCCTCCAACCCAGAATGGTCGTGCAAATGCCCCGCGTGTTCCACAAGGTGTGTCTCCCGAAGCTGCACCAGCTGCTGGTCATCGCGCGCCGCCTCCTCGCCCAGAACGTGGCGCTCCGCCGACTTCTCCTTCAGGTATTCTCGCAACTGCGACGCGCGAGGCTGAATCGATCCTGAGTTTGTGAATGGTTTTTTTGCAGTAGCCAGTGGGCTGTGACGTCTCTCCCATGGCGTTGGCCGAGGCCGCTGTAAGTTCGGACGACTTCGAGCGGCACGGCCGCAACAAGGTCGTCATAGACGAGTTCGGCTACGAGGACCTGCTGCGCCGCCGCCACACCGGCCACGAGTCGCAGAACGATGCGGACGACGCAGAGCAGCACGGCCGCGAGGTCAGAGAAGGCGAGTACGAGGACCTGATCCTGATGCGCCACCGCGACACCAGCCACGAGTTGTTGCAGGATGATGCGCGCCGGCGCCGCGCGGATGCAGAGGCAGAGCAGCAAGGCGGCGACGGCGAGGTCAGAGATGAGTACGAGGACTACCTGTGTCGCCAGCTCGGCGCCGTCTACAGCGGGCCCGATCAAATCTACGAGCACGACATGCGAGGTCCGGAACCAGCACACTCGCCAAACACGCCCGACCAGATCTACGTCCCCTGCGAAAGGATGCTTCCCTACCCAAGCAACTGCGACAACGCCGAGGACCGGATTCATATGGCATGTCTTGCTCTCAAGAACCTGGTAAAAGACATGGAAGGAATCTACTCTCCTCGAGGAACCTTGTGGCAGTATCTGGAGGACGTCATCTCTCTTGCGCATGCTCTGTTTCTGGAGAACACCAAGCTCCACCGGTTCACTGATCAGGCTTCGCACCAGGACTTGCCGTTGCAGCCGCCGCAGGGCTTCCCATTTCAACAGCAGCCGCAGCACGATGGCTACCAGCAGCCGGGCGTCCCGTTCCAGCAACCGCAGCAAGGTGGCTACTACGGCCACGGCCAGGGCATCATGTTTCAGCGAGGTGGCTACCTCCAGGATGTCCCGTTCCAGCACTGGCAGTGGCAGCAGGGTGGTTACGGACAAGGCTTCATGTTTCCGCAGGCTCAGCATCAAGGTGGCTACGGCCAAGGTTTCCTGTCCGAGCAGCCGCTGCCCGGTGACCCCAGCTTCATGAACATGCAGGTGAGCTATTCGATCAACTTGCTCACGGTGAATGGCATGGCAAGTCGATCGATCGGCAACCGGCCGGTAATGGATCAGTGACAGACACGTTCGTGCTTGTTGTGCATGTTCTTAGGCTCCTTACGACGGCGACGGGGGAGTCCTGTTCCAGAAGCCGCAGCACTATCACCATGGGCATGTTCCGAGCGAGAAGGGCGCTATTCAGGTGAGCCATATATATCCAGTGAACTTGCCTCACGGTACGTACACGCAAGTGCAACCAGCAACGGATTGAGAGTGAGTGACACATTACATTGTGCATGTCAGCAGGCCAAGGGGAAGCAGAAGATGCGGGAACCAAAAACTGTCATGTGCCCGGACTGGTGCAGAACCGGACATTGTTCCTCTGGTGACGGGTGCGAATATGCTCACAGTCAAGACGAACTGCGGGTAATCGACGCCCGCCCCAAGTACAGAACAGAGCCGTGCCGTTACTGGCTAGCTGGGAAAGGGTGCTGGTATGGGGACAAATGCCGGTACAAGCAGCACCGATTAGCTCGGGAGCCACTGTATGTCGATCCATTCTTGACAGGTACTACATATGATAGATTTGCTGATTAATTGTCATGTTCTGGTCTCACATTTTAGCAACGGGAAACACTTCTAATCACTTAGGTGAACATCCACCCTTTCTGCAACCTGTAGAAAATTTTGGCCGGTCAGGGTCATCTGTGTATTCAGAAGTACATGTTTGCAAGATTTTGTTTCTTATCTAGCTGAATATTGTCCACCTTACAGTACTAGTTGGGATCCATTTTTTTGCATTGCCTACTTTTATGGTAAATCCATAGCTCTATTGAAGTGTTGATCACGGATAATTTTTACACTGCATATATTTCCAGTCCACTACAGAGTTACAGTAGTTGTTCTGCATTGGAGTAGAGGCTGGATCGACATTACTATAGGGAATTGGCTAGATTAATAATGAGTGATGATGATCATTCCATGTGACATCAGGTCATGAATTGAGAAATAAGACATAGACACCTCTCATTATCTTTTGTGTGATTAAAAAAATCTTGAACCATGACGGCCTTCTATATATAGTACTATGTAGTAGTAGAAATGCGTTTGCACCCACTATAAATATTTGCAATTGTGTGAAGATGCAAATAGAACAAAATACTAATTCAGCTAATGGGAATGTCCAGAATGATTTGTAGGCACTAGAAAATAACCAAGAAATCTATAAATCATTTCTCGTTATCATTATATGACATTTTCTGCTGTGTAGAGATATGTCTTGTTTGTTTTGCTGTGAAACCGAATAAATTGGTCATGTTCTTTTATTTTGCCCATAATGCTCACAATATTTGGTGGGCTGACTGGTTTGGAAAGTTTTTTTAGACATAATCTGATCTGCACAAGTATATATGCAGGAGTTGTGGTCGATCTAGTCTGACATAGATGATACAGCATTGCACTCTGCAACAGATCCAGCCTTGTACAGCGTGAAGTTTTAACCTTCGAGACCTTCAGTCCAGTCGTTGCTGATTAGACCGGTAATGCTGCTTCTCTGCTTGCACCAAAAGCGAATGTTTGCCCTCAGTTTCTTTTTGATGACTGTATGGGCTGTCATGTTCCAACTTCGTTTTGTCCAACTCTCTGATACTATCAAGTTTTTGAAGTCTGGCATCGGTGATCTAGCCGAAAGTTTTCTAGTCTGAAGATTTTGCAATGCTGTGTGTCGGTTGAAATGTTTGCTTGGAGAGGAGTGTGGTAAGAAGGGATTGTCTTGGTAGCTTGGATTGAAGTATATATACTCTGCTTCCGCTGAGGGCATCGCTCGTGTTCATCTCCTATTGATCTCCCTCTCACACACGCCATTCCGGTGAAAAGAAAGCAAGAGTGTGAGTGTGTAGGTTTCTACCCTTCTGATTTCACACGCACACGCAAAAAGAGTTTCATACCCCTTAATCCATACATGTGCTTCAAATATGTGTTAATGTAAATAAATCTAGATAAAGGATAGAGAGACCAAAACGTAGAACGGAGGGAGTAGTAGGCAAGATTGATTATAGAATATACCAATAGTAGACAAGATGATTCATCTAATAAAATGCTCAAAACAAAATATTCATCCTAATAAAAAAAGATAACCAAAAGAAAAGTTTCTTCCAAAATAGTGGGCCATTGAAAATTCCTGCTGATCTCGGAGCTCCGAGATCCAACGCAAGCTGCAATTTATATTGTCTGCATTTTGAAAAAAAAACAATTCGTCATCAGGTCAACAAACAGCAGTCTTGCTTGTTTTGCAGTATGCAACGAACATTAAGGTGCTATTCTAATGTGTAACTTCCCAACTTCACTCCTTCATTTTTCAAGTGCATGTTTCCCGAACCGCTAAACGATGTGTTTTTGCCAAAAAAAATATCCACAGGAAAGTTGCTATGAAAATTATATTAATCTATTTTTTAAGTTTTACTTAATTAATTATATGCTGATAAGCAATTTCATTTTCCGTGCACGGGGGAGAGGTTCACAACCTCTCCTCCTGGGCACAGCCTAAATGGATGACATCTTTGCAAATAAAAATTAAAACACCACACAAAAACAAAAAAAAAACTATCATTTATTTCTTAAAAAATCTGTAAAGGAAGCCTTACATGTCCACTATCAAAAACCTCAAATCAAAGTATTAATTAAAAATAAAAGCGTATACGTTGTTGTTTTTTAGGTCGTTTAGATTGTAATGGAACAGATTGATTAGATCCATATTAGAGAGATGAACGGTATGAGAAACGCATTGTATTTTTAGGGAAAAAACACATGACAAATATAGTAAACACAATTATACTTAAAAAATATTTAGTGTTGGCGTGCCGCGTGCCACACAATCGTACAGAACATTCGGCTAATTTCTGAATAATAATGAACACTCCTACTCAGGCCTGACTGTTCCATGACATTTTTTTGTGATTTATATCTATACTAGGTTATGTAGTCACAGTGCGACTCTAACCATCCTAATATATGTTATGTATATGAAAATATAATTTATTGTAAAAATGAAAATATAACTTATTATAAAAATTGTAAAGCATTAAGAGGTTTTGAAAAAAAATTTTACTATATGAAGCATAGTGTGTGTGTATAATGCTATAAGTTCAGCTAATAGTGTAAAGTAATTAAAAATTGTAAGATCTGAATATAAACAGAATGATAGTTTTATAAATATTTTAATAAAAGGTGGAGCATATGATAAAAAATAATAATAGGAGTTGCAATGAAAATACGTTAAGAACATCATAGGTGGAATTTTGGCCACCACCTACCTCTTTGTTCTCCTCTCATATATATATTCTATTTATCCAACGTGTGTGATATTAGCCAATTTGATTTTGTTTTATATGAATAGGTATTCAGATTTAGTATGACTATACTAAACTTGTACTCCCTCCGTCCCAGAAAGGAGGACGTTCTGCTCCCAAGCAAAAGTCCCATAATTCTTGACGCTGGCATGCACTAGGAGTATAATTTATTATGAAACACCAATTTATATATTTTTACTATATGCATGTTATGTTGTCGGATTTTGCTTATAGCACTTTTTAAATTCTAACTGTAAGACTTTGTTTATAATAATTTTATAACCTATTTATATATAAAATGATAATTTATAGCAGTTACTTAATTAATTCTTAAAATTTTGATGTCATGCATTGTATTATATTTTATAATAGTTTTTAGTATATATATTTTTGTAAGTCTATATAATTTAAACTATATAAGTTTTAAAACACTGCTAACTATCAAGTCTTAGCCAAAGTATATCATAGATATGTAAGTTTTACAATGCCTGCCTATTAAATGGACTTCTTTGTAACATAAATTGTATAGAGGATCAAAACATAAAATTGTATTGATATCTGGTCCCTAGGCCAGTTCGATCGTGGTCATCTCTCTCCGTCACTCATTCATCTCGTCCGGGAGACGGCCCACGCGCTAGAATTCTCTGGAATTTTTTTTTACCGATCAGATTGTACGGCTCTCTTTCTTTTTCATCTCCATCGGATGGCCCAGGTTTTCTTTCCTACGTGGACTAATGAGGTGGCTTTTCAAGATTAACCTTTCACTTATAGGGATTTGATGAAGGTAGGTTATTCGCCTGTAGTTTTTTTTTTCCAGAAAACAAGAGTGTTGAACAACAATGGCAAATGTACAAATAAAGTAGTAGAGTAGTCTATCGACCATATATACCAGTTAATACACAAAATCATTTTAGTGAAGAGTGATTTGGTCTAAGAAACGATAAAAAATAAAGGTGCTGCACATTTTCAAGATATAGTTAAAACAAGGAAACAAATTAGCTCGACATAACTGCATGGTTCAACTGCTTGCAATGGAAACCAGCTTGGATTTTAATTCTTTGAGCTTACAGAAAAATCTTACATGCGAGTAGATATAATACTTTAAAGCTTAAGGCAAAATCTTAAGTGGGAGTAGTAGTGATGTACAGCCACGGTAAAATTGGCAAACGAAATCTAAATAGCTAATACAAAAAGGATAAAAAAAAACTTACAATAAAACACATACCATGAAACTCGTTGGGAGTTTAATTTAGCATAGTGGCGTTCCAATTCATTCCGCCACACTGATAAGCAAAATCATCATCAAATATTTGTCCAGCAAAGCTTCCAGTCGGGTTTCAGAAATAACTATAGGCAGCAGGATAAGGAAATGGAATTTGATTCACAATTGATGATCCACGATAGAAATTGGGATTCAACTTGTATGTAGGATAGTTGCAAAAACCATTGGGAATGTTGCACATTTGTTCCGCAATGCCTCCAGTTCGGTTGCAGGAGTAAGCATATGCAGCCGGATGAGGAAAATGTGTTTGATTCACAATTGATCCATGATAGGACTTGGGGCATGTAGGATAGTTGCAAGAACCATTGGGGATGTTGCATTTTTTTCCGGCAATGCCTCCAGTTCGGTTGTAGGAGTAAGCACATGCAGCAGGAGGAGGAGTTTTATTTATTAATCCACGGTAGATATTGGGGTTGATTCTGCCATCGCTGTTCTTGCGTCTATCAGAAAAGTGGAAAGTGTCTTCACAGGTTGACCAAGCTGCATTTTTGGACTTGTCAATCTTCACAGTTAACTCTTGCCCATCTCTGGAGATATATTTGATGATACAATCAATGATCAGCATTCCAGCATCCACGGATCCAAATTGTTTTAGGTACTTCAAAAGCCCTCTTTCTAAAGAATCCTCTGGCAATGGGCCAATTACTACCTTAATCATATCCCCAACACGGCGTTTTCTTTCACCAATCTGACGAGTGCTCTGCTTGAGAGGCTTGTATCCTGAACTATGGCATCCCGATTGTCTTGGGTCTTCTCTTCCAACATGAACCTATGCATATACATATATGAGACACAAATTTGTTAGCCATAGAATGGTTCATCACACTGATTATATTGTTAGCCTCTCTCTAAAGAATTTTACTATTTTTAAAAAGGTATTGCCGCTCAGTTGGAAGCTATGAAATAAATCTGCGATAGTACAAAACTAGAACTGGCACAATATCGCGAAGTGGCAGCCTTCGCTCAATTTGGGTCAGACCTTGATGCTACGACTCAGGCATTACTCAATAGAGGTAGAAGCCAAGAAGGTACCATTTTTTCTAATAAATTTTACTATTTTTAAAAGGTATCAGAATGTATTATTTTTTCTCACGTAAAATTTGGTACTTCTAGTTATTATGTATTTAAGGTACCAAAATTTTTCTAGTATAAAATTTGGTACCTAGATTTTTCTCAGGAACAAAAAAATTTCTCTTAAAGAAAAGCTATTCCTGTAGTCAAGTAATCTCCAGCAGAAGATACCAAATCATTGGCTAACACACACATATTATATATGATCATTAGGAAGTAGTGTAATAAATCAATTAGTGATATGGTTCTAAATCTATTCGTTTGTGCTGCAACTGGCATCTGTGCAAAAACACTCCGAAAATTCAAATCCAGCAATGTAAAACATGATTTGTGAGCACAACTACATATGGCGCAATAATATAAAGCAAGAAAATTAATTTGACACGCATTATTCTGCTTATATTCAGAAAGAGAGATTAATTGCGTCAAGTCGATCGGAGACGCCGACCATACCGTCTGGCCGTCGATGACCTGCTCCCGATCGGCGAGGGCGAGGCCGGCGAACTCCGGGTGGCCGAACTTGACGATGGCGAAGCGGAGGGCCGGGAGGCCGGTGAGGGTGTCGGCCTCGACCCCCGGGATGGAGACTTCGTCCACCACCCCGTAACGATCGAAGTGGCGGAGGAGGTCCGCCTCGCCGGTGCCCGCGGCGAGACCGCGGACGAACACCCTGCCGTCTTTCGGCGGCTTCCGTGGTCGAAAGTTCATGGCGAACTAGGGGGCTATAGGGTTCTCGATCTACTTTTTTTTTTTTGAGCTTTTGTATCCGTGTTTTCGCAGGAGTAAAAACCTGGTAGGGTGAGTAGGGTCGCGCGATGCCGTATTATACCACCTATTCTGATCTACTCCCTCCATCCCAAAATAAATTCAGTTTTACATTATTTATCTAACATTTGATAGTTTATCTTATTTTAAAAAATTATGGTTAGTATTTTTATTGTTATTACGGCCTGTTTGGTTGGAGGGAGTTGATGATGGGGAATGGGAGTTTATGATATATGGGAGTTTAAGTCTGTAGTTTGGTTGGAAGACTTGGGAATTCGAGAGGGTTTGAGATGGGGAATTAAAAGGTCGAATTCCCACCAATCTCTTACCTGGGGGAGGCCTGTTAATTCGTGAGACTTGGGAATTCGATGTGAAACCAAACAAGGGATGATGACTACAAATATAACTCCTATGACCAATCCCACCATCAACTCCCTCCTTAAAACTCCCATTCCTCTTCCCTTCTCTTACCAAACAAACCATTAGATGATAAAACATAAATAGTAATTTATGTGTGACTATTTTTTCAAAAAAATCATAAATTTTTCAAATTAGAAAAAGATCCGTGCGTTACAACGGGGAAGAAAAAAGTTAAATTATGTTGTGCGTACTACGAGTACTAAATTTGTAATCAAAATTATGTCTTTGCTAGGTTGCATAATATTTTTTTCATATAATTATTTTATTACAGTTTTATAGTGATTTAGTTACTTTTGATTTTAGATCCATCATGAATATCCATATATTTTTAGCTTTGGGCTATTTCAATTTTGAACTTTTTTTTTTGAACCTTTGGGTAGGTGTAAAGTCGTACGCATGCAAAGTCAGTAGAAGGTGAGTGGCTTGATCTCTGGATGGCATATGCAGTCAAGGCTTGCATGTCATGTGCCTGCATGCCGCGTCCCTACAGGACTCAATCACACACGAACAACGCCGAAAATACAAACGGGGCTCCCAGTCTCCCACACGGGCGACGATGAACACGCACATGAAATTGAAACGAACGACTAGGCGAGTAGTAAATCTTTAATTTTTATTTTATAATAGTAGAGATAAGACGGACGGTTAAACGTAGGATGAAATGAGAGAAAGAAAAGATGCTGTGTTAGACACGGATACCCACGGCTGCACTTATTTTGGTTTAGGTAGTATTTATGAAGTTTATTTTTGGAAAATCAGATTGACGCGCATGGGAATCGGTCACGTTCATTGGGTGGCTGCTTCGTGTGCCTTCAAATCGGACACATGTGAATTTTTTTTATTTCCTATTCTTTTTTCAGGTCGGTATGTTAGGTGTAACGACAAAAAACAGTTGTATAAAAATTTAAAAACAATTCAAACACGGGTGACGTACTAAAATTTTGATAAAAAATCTTCAATTTTATAATAGTAGAGAAGAGATAGAGAATAGTCTTATTCGAATAAACAATTCGTGAATAAACACATGTTTCTCCATGTGTTCCTCTCTCCGGTTTCTAGTTTGTCCTTGTAATTTGTGTAACTTAGGCAACATGATGTAAGAAAGTTTATCGGTTGTTTTTTATAAGGGCTGGTTTGGTTTGTGGTCTAAATTGGCATTGCCAATATTTGACAATTTCAACAGTGTTTGGTGTATTTTTGGTTTGAAACTAAAATTGGCATGCCTAAAAAAATAGACCATTTCAATAGTGAAATTAGGCTGCTTTGACTTCAATCCGAACACAACTTTATCTTGCCAAGATTAACTATGCTAAAAATTACTAAAATTTGACATTGATAAAATTGGTAAGGTCAATTTTCAATCTAAACACAACTTTACCTTCCTAAGATTAGCCAAGCCAAAATTTACTAAAATTTGACATTGACAAAAATTGTAAGGTCAATTTAGATCGTAAAGCAAATCAGCCCTAAGGTACAGGCCGTAATGTGTTAGCCCAAGACGGGAGCATCTCCAACGTGGGCCGTGATGCATTTAGCAGGAAAGGGCTTCCCACCATTTCTTGGGACGGAATGGCAATTCGGGCGAACGTATTGGACCCTGAGCCCAGGAAGATTTATGATCTCCTTCTCCGAATAACGCAAGGCTGTTGCCTGTTTTTTTTTATAGAGAAGGGTATTTTTTTTGCCCGGCCTCTACATCCAACCGGATATATACGGCCATTGAAATAGAGAACTTAACCCCGCAAACAATCTAATTTGAAATTCGCTCCATAGAATATTTGAATTCAGGACCTTGGGGTACTACTTAGGTCACTGTAACCACTAGGCTATATGCCATTTCATGGTTGGTGTCTGCCTTGGTGGTTGACAGTGACAACATCATCTTCAGAAAATGGCGATCAAATCCACAACTCCACTGATGTCTGATGGTGATGCATCGATGCATGCAGATCTAATCTCTTTCCGTTCTATATTTAGATTCGTAGCTAGAAGTTGGTGTTTTTAGCACTGGGTGTACGCTGGTTGGCGCCGCCAGTAAACATTCACGTTGCTCTGTATTTTGAAATTACACGCATTATGAAGCCTTTCTTCTTTAGAAACTGATAGTCTGAACATTTCGATGCCGTGAGCACTGTGGTTGCGCCGAATCTGCAGTGAAGCACGGGCACTTCAGAGACAGGAGCGCATGTGCTTGGCTAGAGATTCTGGTTTTCTTTAAGACCAGTTGCCTGTTGAAATCTTTGTTCGGTTCCTGATGGATAGTACTTGCCTCGTCAGAGATCTGCATTTGGTTAATGGTTACACGCCCAGTACAATGTTAGCATGCGAGTTGCAGTGATTTTTTTTTTTGTGTCATTTGGTTATATACTATTATGCTCAGTCCTGCTGGTTCTCTGGTCTGAAATGGCACTAAACATTTCATCATCCAATGCCATCAACTTCAAAAACACAGGGTTATCTAGCTGTCTACTGCTGCACTTGCATAATTGCCAAGCATGCTTTTTCTGTGACAAAGTGGGCTGAACTGAATCGGTGCATTTGATATACACACAGGTGGTGCACATTGATGTATGCCTGCAACTGCAAGGGCCTTCTGGTTTCAGAAAAATTTAGTACGTACTACTACTCCCGCAAATAAAGTTGATCAAGTTCGTAGCCAGAAATTGATTTTTTTTGAGACGGACATAGTAATATGTCACATGTTGAACAATATGGGACAGTTCGTCTTTAATTCTGAAAATGATCTGTTCAAGCTCGTCACATGCTACTACACGGGTAGGACATAGCAGCATGCATCACGCACCTTGCTGCTGGAAGGATATCAAATGCTGCTGTCCCTAGCTCTTGTCCTTGAAGTTATGTGCTGCCGTGATAACAGTACACTGCTCTTTTTGCAATGCTTGCACACATTGCTCTATAGCAATTATTGTTGTTTCTTCAGAAGTGTTATACAGTTCATGTGACCTCTCTCAACTTGCCAACCCAAAACTATCTTTTCCGTTACTTCGGATCCGGTGCATAGTGCCGTGGTGTCGCTAAGAAAAAAGATGCACTTGCAGCTGACATTGCTGTAGCTGACAGCGAGCTAAGAGGGGCCAATCCAATAGAGAAAAACCCATCCGATTCAGTATGTATTCAGTGGCAGTGTCCATCTTGAGGCTGACTTGACCATGGACTTGGCGTGTCATTTGGACTGGTAGCTGTCATAGCGACATAGCGTTATGGCATCACGCAGATTATTCGACCACAAAATGGCATGCAAATTGGGAGAAAAATTTGGTAATCTGTTCATAAAATGGTGCTAGCTGTCATATGATAGTCTCATGGCATCTTGCAAATTATATCTAGCTTGTTAGTGTCCTTCAATAAGGGCCCTTTTAGTTCCCAGAAAGTTTTTCCCAAAAACATCACATCGAATCTTTAGACACATGCATGGAGTATTAAATATAAATAAAAAGAAAAACTAATTACATAGTTATGGGGGAAATAGCGAGACGAATCTTTTGAGCCTAATTAGTCCGTGATTAGCCATAAGTGCTACAGTAATCCACGTGTGCTAATGACGGCTTAATTAGGCTCAAAAGATTCGTCTCGCGGTTTCCCGGCGAGTTCTGAAATTAGTTTTTTCATTTATATCCGAAAACTCCTTCCAACATCTGGTCAAACGTCCGATGTGACACCCAAAAATTTTCTTTTCCCCAACTAAACACGCCCTAAATTCAGGAATCTGATCATAGTTGCATCAAGCAACCAATTACAATATCTAGTACAATGCAGATGCATCATGCTAGTAGGCTAGTACTCCTACTAGCTAAGCTTGAGTTCAGAGTAGAAAGCATCCCTACTTAGTGTAATTGTATATCCATTCCACATAGCATGTGATCCTGAAGTGTTGAGTACTACGTTACAGTGACCATTGGACCACACACTAGATACCCAGAATTTAATGGCTCGGTGCCAAGTAGAGTATGCTTGGCTTGGCTAGTTGACCTGTATTTTTTTTGTATATTCTCTATCCATCACGCACATATATGCAGTGATGTTGCGAATCAGGCACGCCCGGTAGGTGTACTGATACTGTCAAGCGCTATATATGCATTTCATACTACTATATTACTACAATATGTGCTATTTTCTTATCCAAGATTCTGAATTTGTCCAGAAATCTGTACTTCAAGACCAGCTCGATCACTATTGAGAAGATTCGAATTGGGTTTGATTCTATAGGTTGTCACTTTTTTTTATTAAACTAATAACTGCCAATTATATTTCAATAAGCAGGAGTAAAAACCTAGACGGATCATATGAAAAAAAAAAAACAACCCCACAATGAGAAAAGCCTCGCCGGACACTTCAAAAGCGGCCGGCCGGAACAACACCAGCTCGCTAAAAAACTGCACAAAGACGGAAACCAAGACAGGGTATCGTTACCAAGCTCGCTACACAACATAGTAACTCCGACTTCCCAAACACGTGTCATCGTTGCTGAGTTTGCCACACGCCCTCGCAAGACAGCAGCTCTGACTTCACCACGGATGTGACATCGTTGTCAAGCTCATTGTCAAGATGATCAAGCAGCTTCGACC